TATTAAAATCACCAGGCGAGATAGCTAGTGGAGGATATGCCAAAGGAAGTTGATATGTTACTTGACTTATGAATGATCCTTGTCCATTTCCAAGTAACATTTGAACTTGCTTTGTACTAGAGGTAGCCACAGCAATATCTAATTGATTGTCACCGTTGAAATCACTCATGGTAATTACTGATGGTTGAGAATTTGAGGGCATCTTAATGAACACTTGACTTTTGAAAGTACCATTACCATTTCCAAAAACAATACCAACATTATTAGTGCCCGAATTACTAACAATAATATCTAGTCGAGTATCATTGTTCACATCACTAACAACAATAGATTTCAAGTCAGAACCACCACCTGATGCATAACTGATTTCATGTACAAGAGCTCCACGATTATACTGTAGTAATATATAAACATACTTATCATCGTTCCTTGGTACAACGATATCCAGTCGGTTATTGTTGGTAAAGTCACCGATCGCTACGCAGTATCCAATGGCACTAGCGTAATATGACATCTGGTTTCCAAAAGAACCATTTCCATACCCAAATAAAACATATACGTTAGTAACACCATAAAGAACAAAAACAACATCCAGATAAGTATCATTATTGACATCGCCAACAGCTACATAATATGGATGATTAGGTGTTCCATATGTGATTTGCGTTGTAAAGCTGCCATTACCATATCCAAGAATAATACCTATATTATTGCTACCGTAGTTAGCAACAACTAGATCCAATTGACCATCATTATTGAAATCACCAACAGCCAGAGATTGTGGATACGTACCAGCCGAATATTTCATTTGATTTGCAAAGGAACCATTACGATACCCCAGAAGAACACTCACACTACTACTATTATAATTAGCAACGACTAGATCTAATTGATTATCATTGTTAAAATCACCAACAACTACAGACTGTGAATAAGTGTCAGTTGCATATGTTATTTGATTTCCAAACGAACCATTGCCATAACCCAAAAGAACACTCACATTGTTGCTATTATAACTGGTAACAACTATATCTAGCTGACCATCATCATTAAAATCACCAACAGCCAGAGATCGTGGAAAAGTGCAAGTTGCATATGTTATCTGATCTTCAAAATAACTATTACCATGTCCCAGAAGAATACTCACATTGCTGTCATTATAATTAGCAACAGCTATATCCAAATAACTATCATTATTGAAATCGCTGACGGCTACAAAATATGGAGAGGTACCAGTTGAATATGTGATTTGTCCTGCGAACGAACCATCACCATTTCCAAGAAGGACACTTATCGAATTATTATAATAGTTCGCAGTAACTAAATCTAGTTTACTATCATTATTAAAATCACCAAGAGCTATATGAAATGGCAAATATCCAGTTGAATAATATTTGGGTAATGAAAAACCTTCGAAGTAACCCTTGAGAATATCTATGTTGTCAGTTTCATTATTAACAACGATAACATCCAATCGTTTGTCTTTGTTGAAATCACATATAGCAAATGAGATCGATGAAGTAGATCCAGTTGAATTCATTCTTGCATCCGAAAAACGACCGTCACCATGTCCAAGAAGTAAACCTGTATTATTAGCACCAATAGTAATAATGAATATGTCTAAATGATAATCTTGATTGAAATCACCAACACCAATGGAGTATGGTGAACCAGAATTTATAGAATACTCCAGTTGATTTGCAAAAGTTCCATTATCATCGCCTAAAAATATACCTATCGTATTTGTTCCATGATTGGCAACAGCGATATCAACAAATGCATCATTATTGAAATTACCAACAGCTATTGAGGATGGATGTGAATCATAACCAGTTGAAATAGTTATCTGTTCTTCAAAAGTACCATTATTAGTAGCAAGAAATAAACCAATATTATTTGTTCCATAATTTGCAATAGCAATATCCATATAATTATCATTATTAAAATCACCAACAGCTAATGCATATGGAAGTGAGTCATAACCTGTTGAATACATTGTTGGATTCGAAAACATTCCATTTCCATAACCATAGAATATGCTTATACTACTGGTTCCAAAATTGACAGTGACAATATCAAGTATTGTATCATTATTGAGATCAACTAAACTAATTAATATTGGACGCGATGTACTGGTTGACAGATCTAGTTGACTTGTAAAAGATCCATTTCCATACCCAAGAAATATACGAATGGTATTACTGCCAAAGTTTGCAACTGCAATATCTAATTGAGAATCATTGTTAAGATTACCAACGGAAACCATATAAGGACTGGAACCTAAACCAGTTGAATATTCGATCTGTTTGATAAAAGTACCATTTTCATATCCAAAATATATACCGATAGTGTTAACAATCGAATTGGCAACTACCATATCTATCCAGGTGTCATTGTTGAGATCACCAACAGCAACAGATCGTGGACTATAGTTATACTCAATTGGATTTGTGGCTGTTCGTAAAATATTGAAGTCACATTTTGGTGCTAAATAATACAATAAAAATTATCAAATAGAGGGAGATAAATCTATTTAATTAAAATATATTTCTATTTTGTTTTGTTTGTCTGCTCTCATTTACTTCGATCAAAACTAATAGAGTAATGATTCAAATGTTATAAGAATTTACCCTGTGGTTTTGGTGCAGTAAAACAAACGATTAAGATGCCAGTTGTCATTACAATACATGTGAATATAAAAAATACAATGGCACCAACGATTGAACCTGATGTTGTCCAGTAACAATATTTTCTAAAACAATGCATGATTATTATTTCTAACCTTACAAGATGAAAAAAAGACCTACACATTCCATGGCGATATTGGTTTTGTTATCTGCTTCACGGTATTCTTGCGATCCACGGTTGCTCCATGTATATGTTGATTTGGATCTAAGTTTTCTTCGACATTAATAGGCGATTGTTGCATAGCAACTAAGCCTTGAATTGGTATAGCATCATTATTCATACAAGTCATTTCAATCTAGATGAAGACAGTAATTAGATAGAGATTGACTTAACATTGAATACTGAAGTTTATTTGTTACTTTGTAATTTTATATTTCTCTCAAAAGATGGATATATTCGAAGAAAGTATGAATAATTAACTTCGAAAAATAAATTCTCTTACTTATCGCCTGGTGTAAAACTATGTAATCCATCAAAATAGTTTTTCAATCATAAACGAAAATGTATGTAATAAAGTTTTTAAGTTCAGTATTATTATATGAAAAAAAAGCTTCTTCAAAAGTGCGTCTGATTGCCAACTAAAATCCTTGCTGAGATATGAATTTCATTATCTATATCATATCTTCTATTTACTGTGGCATTCTACACATCAATTTCTTTATCAATTACAATTACTACCGTTCAAAATGTTTCTCAAGAGATTTTAATCCTACACTCTTTGTTTCCGCTATTAATAAAACGAAAATATTTTTTTTCTTGTAACAATCATTGTTTCATACCTGGTTTGTATCGGATTGCATCGTTCACTTGTATGTATGTGCACTTTTTCGATCAATAAAACAAAAAATTATGTTGGTATCAATTGTTTGTTACGTATTGATAGATGGTATGAGCTATTTCAAAAACAAAAAAAAATCAATCAATACTTTTATTAGCAATGAGTTTATTCAAAGATTTGAATATAATAGCTATCTGTTGTTTCTTCGCTTCTGATTCATACTTTTTCATTTTACTGTGTATTTTAAAATTATTCTCAATCTGTTCGTGAACTACTGCTTTTATTTCTCACTAATAAATATTGTAAATTAAATAGAAATAATATCAGTCGTAATTAACGCTTCTATAATGTCGACGACGATTGAAGTAGAAAACGAATAAATGAATACATTAATTATACAAAAATATATGACGATGAAAAAAGAATCAGTCGAAATACAAAAAGGTGCATTTGCATGCACGTTTTTTTAATTATAATGATCACTGATGCATAGTCCGTTTTTTTTCTTCATCTTAACGAAAATATTAATGAATACGTAAGTCTAACTACCAACGTGGCAAGCGCATATTTATCTTTTCCTTCTAGTACAGCGATCAATGAAGCATTTTTTACTTTTCTTTCAATTCAAAGGAAAGAAAAATATACAAAAAATAGAAGAGCCTACGCCGACAACGATTTTATTTGTCGTCCATGTGATAAATATTACCATTACTGTAATAGATGAAGAAAAAAGAAGAAATATGTACAGGTGACGATTTGAAAAATGATGTATTAAATCAGTTTTTATTATTTATTTGTCTTGTAAATAAAAATTTTTTGGTGATATTTTATAAAAAAAAGTAAAGTAAAAACAAGAAATATATGTAGTGCTGTTTGTCACATAACGACAGATGCGATTAAATGGTACGGAATAATAAATTTCCATCGATTTTTCAAATATACATCGGTGTTAATTGATTAAACTGGAAAAAATACTTTTAATTGATTTTTAAATAGGAATCAATTTTAATCGAGTATTTTTCAAAAAATAATATATTTCAATGAATTTTCAAAAATGTTAATCGATTTTGATCACAATGAAGAAAAAAATATGTATTTCTCCGTTTTCCAATTATCGATAGGTACTTCTCGATTTTGTTTTTTAGAATTCTCGCATCATTCATCTGACTGTAGTTTTTTGGTTTATTGATATATTGAATTGGAGTTAATCTCCATTACTGAATTTGATTATTTAATAAACATTTAAAAATAGATCGAATACAAGTATTTAAGTGAAAAAGATTTTGACACATAGTAGTAGATAATGAAATATAAAACTATTATATGATACTTTGGTTATGCTTATATCATCAAATGAAAGTCTTTTTCTTTGAAATATAATTAATCTATTTTTGCCAACACTTTCATTAATTTAAATATATGTATACTATTGAATTAGAAGATGTTCGACATCGTATTTCAATTAAACCATAAGTTCCTTTTCTTTTTACTAGTACAATGAGAAGTAATCTTGATCCATTTGGTTTTTATTCAGATGCAGAAATATGGAATGCACTTGAACAAGTTTGTTATTGATTTTTGTCAAATTTATCTTTTTTTTAATACTTTCATAATATAGATACAATTGAAAACATTTGTGAAAGATAGAATGTCACATGGTCTTCATTCATTAGTCAATGAAAATGGATCTAATCTAAGTATGGAACAAAAATAATTGGTATGTTTAGCAAGAGCTATATTAAAAAAAAGTAAAATTCTAATCATTGATGAAGCAACTGCTAATATTAACAATATGTAAGTAAAAAAAACAAAATATATGATGAAAATCTAAAAAGAATAATATTATTTAGAACAGATGAATTGATTCAAAAAGCTATTCGTGATAAATTCAAAGAATGTACAGTATTAACAATAGTACATCGTTTACGAACAATTATTGATAATGATTGTATTATGGTATGATAGTTTTGTTTTTTTTCTAGAAATATACACTTTTCTTTGTCATATTTTAAGTGCTTAGTAATGGAATTTACTTTACTAGTAGAACAAACAGGATTAGCCGAAGCTGAATATCTTCGAACATTAGCAAATTCTTCTGAATAAAATAATTTGAAAGAACGGAGAAGATTTAGATTCAAGGTTTCATAGTTTTTTATATCTTATCAGTGGTAGTTATATATAGTCGTGTAATAAACATGTGCGTGTTGATATATAGAGGTGAGATAAAAAAAAATAATGCAATATCAAAAGATTGGACATACAGATATTGAAATATCTCGTATAATTCTTGGTTGTGGCTCGTTTGGAGGTATTGGCTCGGCTCCTGAATTTTTTGGTCAAGGTGAAAATGAGGAACAATCACATGAAATTCTTGATGCTGCTGTTCGTCTTGGTATAACAACATTTGATACAGCTGATGCTTATGGTGGCGGTAGAAGTGAAACATATATAGGAAATTGGTTAAGAAAATGTGATAAAATAGTTCGAAATAACATAGTATTAAGTTCAAAAACATATAATCCAATGTTTATTGGTGATAGTAAAGGATTATCAAGAGAAAGAATATCAGAGAAAATTGATGGTACATTAAAACGTCTTGGAATAAAACAATTGGATATGTATCTATCACATGAAATGGATGTGCAAATAACTCTTGAAGAAACACTTAGTTGTTTTAATGACTTACAAATAAATGGAAAAATATCAGCATATGGTGCATCCAATATCAGTTGTGAACAATTAGAAAAAAGTATATCAATTTGTGATAATTTGAATTTACATCGATATGAATGGATACAAAATTCTATGTCATTATTGAATTATCGTGAAGCCGAACGAATATTACAAATCTGTTCGAAATATGGTCTTGGTTTTACTCCTTACAGTCCATTAGCAGGTGGTTGGTTAACAGGAAAATATCAGCGAGATGTTAATTATGAACCTGGCTCTCGAATGACACTACGACCTGAACCTTATGAAAATTATGTTCAACATCAGAATAGTATATTTGATGGATTAAATTCAATGAAAAAAATCAGTAAAGAACGATTTGGTGATATAAGTATTGCTGGTTTAAGTTTAGCTTGGTTACTTAGTGATTGTCGAATCACAGGAATAGTTATTGGACCTCGTAAACCAGAACATTTGAAACCGATAGAAGAAGCATTAAACATACATCTTAATGAAACAGATCGAATCGATTTAGCTAATCTATTTCCAGTGTTATAAATCGATATACTTGCTTTAGACGTATATCGCTGAATACAAAACGCTATTTTTCTTATGTTTTTTATCTTTTCAGTGTTCTCTTTAATATTTTATTCATTGCTTTTTCGTAATACCTATGTTTTAGTTAATCAGATCTTTTTGAAATTTTTGACATCAACGAATATGTCTTTCTCGATCTTGAGATATTGTATTTGCAAGAAATAGCCATTCGTCTTTGTACACTCATAGAAGGGTGTGGGTGTGGGGTGTGCGTATTGGTGTTGGTGTAGATTTGAATGTAAATGTGGGTGTGGACGAGTGTGACTGTAGGTATTATATTTATTTGTAATTAACACCCACGCCCTCAAGATGGATGTAAGCATAGAGATTAGAAAAATCTCACATCCGCACTTAGATTCATCTTTCTGTGCACTATTGATGAACAAAGCTTACATCAATCAAGTGGTAAAAATATTTTTATTTTATATATTTAAGCTTAGAAGAGTATGTTCATTTATATGATTAGAATATAGTGCTCGAGTAAAATATTTTCACTTAAAAAAAAGTAATTGTTCAGTTCGAATGATAAATAACCCGTTGATATGTTGTAGAAGAACTGAGTCCTGTAATATTACCACATCTATATCCACCATGAGCTGATAGTGTAGTCCAACAAAGTCTATATATCGGATTTGTTGATGTAGTATCACATGCATATCGATACACTATATCATTATTGTTGACAAAACCCCATGAGTATTCATATGCAAAATACCATCCAACACCATTAGCTACATGTGTACAACTAGTCGACATACCACAACTGTATAAAACATCACCTCGAAGACCCATAGCTGCTACACTTAATAAGGAACTTCCTACTGGACGACAACCAAGCATTAATTTTTGTTTATTACATATTCCCAAAATAGGTATAAGAACACTGTCATTCAAAATAACATTATAAGTATCATTGTAACAAAGTGACCAATCATTAGATAATGCTTGAGTATCGAAATTAAGTTGAACACCGTAGAAAGAAAGATTACCTATCATACAATATACAAACAAAATATCTATCAATATGTAATAGTTAAGTGTACCTGAAACTGCTGTCATATCTATATAAAAAAGAAAAATAAACAAGTTTGGAGAATATATTTGTAAGGAGATTAAAAAAATTATTTGAAAATGTGTGTGAATAAAGATAAGATACCTACTAACAGTTACATAAGTAGATTTTGACTAGACTCAATATTTACTTTCTCCTGAAAATTATTGAATGTCATCTAAAAGTTTTAAATCTAATTGTAGATAATGAACGCGCAATAGTCTGAGGTAGTGAGAGAGTGAGTGATTAACTATACGGCTACTCATATCCTCAAGATCGAAATTTCTATTCGATGACAAAGGATAATACGAAATAACTCAAATTCTTACTTGATGAACTTATTCGAGTAAAATAAACTACTCCTGGACCAGTTGCAATAAGTGAGAAGCTTCCACTTATGAATGGATCATATGTTGTTGCGATCACTGTATAGTTTACCCAACGTTGAAGAAAGTATACAAGCTTGAATTGTTGATTGCCAGCACTATCATCATCATATAAGAGTAAATTTTTTGTTGGATTCGTAGGATCAAAAGTAGTATTGAAGAGAAAACCATATGTGTCGATGCTACTGCTACAAGCAATTGTATAGGTTCCAGCAACAAAGACATTAATTTTGATAGCTTCATAATAAAAATTTGGATTTGAACAATTATCTGGATGACAAGTTGTTGGACTATAGGTAGTTAAACCTGATGTATAATTTGATTGGATTAGGACCGTACTATCTATCATATAAAGAGAAAATAATCTGTGAATGAGCAGATTGGGTGTGACTAATATTATATAAATAGAAATAAAATAGGTACTCTACATCGACAGATCTTAGATCCTTTCTTTGTTCAATAAGGACTTGAGTTCTTACTTGATGAACTTATTCGAGTAAAATAAACTACTCCTGGACCAGTTGCAATAAGTGAGAAGCTTCCACTTATGAATGGAGCATATGTTGTTGCGATCACTGTATAGTTTATCGAAGGTTGAAGAAAGTATACAAGCTTGAACTGTTGATTGCCGGCGCCATCATCATCAGATAAGAGTAAATTTTTTGTTGGATTCGTAGGATCAAAAGTAGTATTGAAGAGAAAACCATATGTATCAATGCTACTACTACACGCAATTGTATAGGTTCCAGCAACAAAGACATTAATTTTGATGGCTTCATAATAAAAATTTGAATTTGAACAGTTGTCTGGATGACAAGTTGTTGGACTATAGGTAGTTAAAACTGATGTATAATTTGATTGAATTAGGACTGTACTATCTATTATATAAAGAGAAAATAATCTGTGAATGAGCAGATTGGGTGTGACTAATATTATATAAACAGCAATAAAATAGGTACTCTACATCAACAGATTTTAGATCTTTTCTTTGTTCAATAAGGACTCCAGTTCTTACTTGGTGTAAAATTAATTATTGCTGGACCCGTTGCAATAAGTGAGAATGTTCCAGTCTGATACTGAACATATGTCGACATAACCACAACATAATTTGCCAGAGGTTGTAAGAAATATGTAAGCTCGAATTGCTGATTGCCAGCACTATCATCATCATACAAGAGTAAATTTTGTATTGGGTTCATAAGATCAAAACTATTACTGAAGAGAAAGCCATATGTTTCAATGCTACTACTAGCAACGACTGTATAGTTTCCAGCAACAGAAACATTAATTTTGATGGCTTCATAATAAAAATATGTAGACAAACAATATACCTGACGACAAGTCATTGGATTATTAGTAGTCAAAACTGATGTATAATTTGATTGGATTAAAAATTGAGTACCTATTAGATAAAAAGAAAATTGTTAAATGAAGACTTTAATCAACATCAACAGATTTTAAAAATATTTCTAATCAATTTTTTTTTAACCTTATTCGAATTGAAAGTGAAAGTACACGGCATATATGTTAAGATACGAGGGATGTCATAATATCTGATACTCCTGTATCGAAATAAGACAATAAACAATTGAATCCATAAAAAATTGTAGAATTTGAGGTAGTTTCATATAACGGGGTAATAGTATATTGTCTTAACTTCATTTATTTTATCACAACTTTGTGGCGGTAATCTCATGATTGATTTCATTTTCAAAAAAAAATGGAATTTTTTATATAAATGGCTTATAGAAGAGCACCGTAGTACTAAAATCAGTCCTCTTCTTATTCTTTGTAAATATTATAGTTACTAATTACTTTGTGTTGTTAAACTTATTGAACTGTTGTCATCTGTCGATAACGCAGATGAATTGGTTCTTTGTGCTGTTGTTTCATCTAACAAATAAGTATAGTCCAATACCCATGTCGTCACTTTTTAGTAGATACCGCCGGTTTCCGGCGGTTTTGCTAAAACCGGCGATATACCGCGGTTGACCGGCGGATATAAAATATAATGCGGTTTTATCGATTAACATGTTAATTAGAGTAATTAGGGTAATTAGATGAGGTCTAACACAAAGGACTATATTTTTTCTCATCACAAAATATATGAAAAATAGAAATATTCGCTAAAATGAAGCATTTAGAAATTCCGCTAGGTGGCGCTGCAGTAATTTTCTGATTGGTAGATAGTACAATCCTTTGTTATGATAAACCGTTAGTTTTCGTTTCGTTTCCCTTTTCTGATTATGGGATGATCGAAACGATATATTGTAATTTTATTTCAACCGTTATGATCGTAGCTTTTTTCTAAACTATTACTTTGAAATTAGCAGTTTATATGCGATAGGTATGAAATCCATCGATAGAATCAACTTTTTTAAATATTATTTTTATAGAATTTCTCGTTTGATTTGCTGATGTCGAGTATCAAAAACCGACGAATTTATTGTTTTACGAGATAGTATAAAAGTGTTAATATTCGCTATTTTTTATTTTAGTTTAGATATCTTCTAACAATCATTACTCGAACATAAAACGATTAATATTCGATATTTTTTTTTAATTTTATTTTAGATGTCTTTTAACAATCATTATTCGAATGAAACTCTTACTCAACAAGAGCGCCGTACTCAAAGAAGGCGAGCAACTGCCTCCGCTCTTCTTTATACTTCTTTATCAAATTCTGATGATGATCTATCTGAATCTCAACATTCTAATAGGATTAATAAAGATCCTGTTTATCAAGATGACTCTTTCTTTTTTTATTAGTATTCTTTTATGTTCGCCTTTATGTATATCGTGCGGTACTGAAAAAAATTTCTTCAGTGTTTATTAATGTTGTTTGTTTTCTCTGTCGTCTCTGAGTGTGTCTTACAGTAGTAGATCTTGAACGTGTTTATATATCTTCTATTTTTGTATGTACGCGTACATGTCTATTCAATTAACTGTGATGAAATAATTGTTATTTAACGTTCCTGTAAGTTTTATTACTTCACATTTGTAATTTTTTTATGTAAAATGAAAATAAAATATGGCTGGATAATAAATCATCAAAGATCTGTTAGTAGAATAAAGTAAAGGATACTTCTATAGAAAAAAACGAAACCGTCGGATAAACGTCGAATAACCGCGGAAAACCGCCAATAACCGTTAAAAACCGGTGGTTAACCGGCGGATATCCCCCCAGTTCTACGATCGGTATACCGCCGGTTTTTATGCGGTTCGTAGCACATGGGTAGTCAATTTGATCAGTTAAAAATTACTTGATGATATATTTTGAACGGATTTTTGTCGAAAATGGAGGGTAAGAGGAATGGCGATAGTCGCTGTTATGATGAGAAGTATCATAATTAAACCACCAACTCTTAGTACGATATGCATTGTTGACGAAATCGATCTATTCGAATAACTTTAAGGTTGGTGGATACGTGAATTACAGATAAATATACCATTCACTTACCGTCACACGTCGAATTCAAACTATAAATACGCAATAACTGATAACGTTTTTTTTATTTATTAGTTGTCACTGGCGTGTTTCCTCCGTACAGATCGACGAGAAAAATAATTAAATCTCTTTTTTTTCTTGGAAAAAGTATTCTTTTTGGTAAAGTTAATTTAAAAAAAAACTCTAATTTCAGCCTCTTCAGAGAAATTGCTTTTCTATCAACTAACAAAATACACACGTGTCGTCTTTTAACTTATTCCAAGAATAGTTATCTGTAATTACTAGAATGTACACATATCTACTATTGATTATTGATTATTCTTCGATGTTATTTTTTCCAACTTGTATAAATGTAATCTATTTGAATGTGCACAATGACGTCTAAATTTTCTTTAGATTGGATGAGGAAAAAAAACAAAACAGGCATGATTTTATTACTGTTTGTGTTGCTTGCTCTGTTGTTAGATTGTTGAGTAAAAAAATATTTCATTATAGAGATTGAACAATGCTTTTCAAGGAGAACTGAGCATTGTCATTAAAAAAGTAAAACTAAAAGACGCAAATGAATAATATCACATTTGCCGTTCTATAGTAACAGATTTTGATGATGAATACTCAAAAACAAAATATCGAAACGTTGTATTGAAAAAACAGACATCGACATTCATCCACACCCACACCCTTAAAAGCGAATAATATTTATTGAGCATAAAGAAAACTTATAATGCAAGCCTTTTTGAATAATTAATACAAAAGCAATGATTTTATCTATTGATCATATAGATTAGTCTGTTTCTGTTGGAGTAACTCTTTTTGTCATACATAAACATTGTTTGACTATAAAAATAGCCAATATCCGATAAATAATTACCAAACCACCATATAAACTAATTAAAATTGTTATACCATCGATCACATTCCTATTGTCAATATAAGAGTAAGTACATGATAATGGTGCACATTGTTTATAATAAGCTTCATATGACATATTACTCAACAATTCTTCAACTATTAATTCATTTACAATCGATTCAATAGTTGTATTCAGAGGAAAACGACTTGATATTGATGAAGAACTGTCTAATGCTTTAAAAGTCTTCGTTGGATCAATACATGTTTGATCACTGAGACAGATCAATGTCGATTGTAATATAGACTCCAATGGATAACAACCAGATAACATACCTCGAGATGATGATACACATTTAGATGATAATGCACAGCTACATCCTTCAAATTTTAATGGTATATTATGCATCATTCCACTGCCAGTCGTATTACGTGAAATAGCAAATATCCAATTGGTAGATAATATACTCATTAACATATTTGCTCCAATCGTTTCGCGAATCAATAAAAGACTTCTGACAAATAATTGTGGCATTGTTAATTGAAATTCATTGATTGTCGCTTGAATACGATCGTTTAATGAACTTGAAGATAAAAGTTGTGTATTGATAAAATCACTGACACCGAGTTGCATAAGCGCATCGGCGACTATTTTCTGAGATAGTTGACAAAATGAAGCAAGTATCTGAAATTGTCCTTCAGCTGAATATAAGAAATCATTTGGAGAATATAGATCAATAGGAGGAATATCACCATAGAGATATTCGATCCAACGATTAGAAACAAAATCACTTGAACATAATGAATGAAAACGAGATGTGACATTAAGAAATGATTCGTATTTGATCGAAATCTGTGAACAAGAACATTGTAAAGAATCGTCGAATCGTGTTTCTAAATCTGTAAAAGTTGATAACGATGGTTTTTCAATTTCAATAGTGATGCTACGAGAACTAAAAGCAGAAAATATATAAATAATTGAGAGAGTTACCACAACTAATATAAAATGTAATCGATGAATAAGTTGATGTTCTGTAGTACAACTAAATATTGACTTAATAGATTGTAATAAATTGAAATGTGCAACACCATTGATTAATATTTTATCGATAGACTGAAGTATAATAGAAATAACGAGTTTTAATCCAAGTGATAATCCACCAAATATACCGACGATACTAGTAATGATAAGAAAAAGATTATCACGATCTTCATATTGAACTGTACATGATAATGGCGCGCATTGATTATAATATAAAGGAAAAGATATATTAGACGACCATGTATCAACCATTAATCGATTAACAATATTTTCCATAGTTTCATTTGATGGATTAAGATCTGGATTGAGAGCAGAAAAATTGAAAGATTCGGAAGAATTTATATAATGATCAATTTCCAACATACATGAAAGATTATAGAAGCATTCTAATGATGATAAAAGTAAAGCTTCAGTAGGATTACAACCAATAAAGAAGGTAGGAATTGAATAGAGCAGTGTGGGTATAATCGAAGATGAATTATAAACGTAAATACCAATTGTTTGATGGCATGTTGCAGATAGAGCACAAAGACAATTAGAATATATCCTTGCGTACCATGTTGATTTTCCCGATATAGAATTTGTAGTACGATTGTTATTTGCAATACCACTAGCCAATTGATTTCCTTGCATAGTTGCACGAAATAATTCAATAGTTCGGATAAATGTGTTGACAGTTGTTAGTTTCCAAGTCTCGATAACTGAATTGATTTGAACTTGGAATGATTGTTGAGTAAGAACTTGAGAACTAATAAATGTTGTTTGAAGAAACACACGAAGAGCATCATCAATGGTTTGTTGTGCTTGTTGACAAAACATAGTAAGTAATTGAAACTGACTATAACCTATGACTCTATAATCATTAGTGTAGTAAACAATATCATCATATATACTACCCACAATATATTCAATCCATTTGTCAGAAATCAAATCACTTGAACATAATTGATGGTAATGAGGTTGAATGGTTATAAAAGTAGAATAATTCATAGAAATTTCAGTACATGGACATAAAAGAGTCTGTGGATAATCTTGTTGAAGTTGTATAAATTGGGACTGAGTTGGATGAAGAATCGTTTTCGATTGAATTGAACTTTTCAGAAAAGTAAGAGTAATTAAAACTGCAAGTGAATTGAAAAGTAAAAATATATAAAGTCGAGTGCCATAACGCTGAAAACGTATTTGTCGATCGGTACTTGGATAATGCTCGAATATATTCAGTTCAATGATTATTTTTCGAATCAGCACTATGAATTTATGCAAACGTACACGCCCTAAACATTTTATCAATTGATATTCAATATTAAACAGCAGAATTTACTGAGTTGTATTATACTTACAAGGAATTCGCTGTCTTGTTGCACCATTTCTCATGTTTTGCATAAATTGAATAATAATGAGGGCGGCAAATCGAAGTACTAGTATTAAGCCACTCAATACACTGATAAGTTTGATCAACACATATATAAAATCATGTCGAGATATATTGATATAAGTACATGATGCTGGGGCACATTCGGAATAATACTTGTCATATGAAATATTTATCATCCAATCTTCAATCATTAAATTATCAACTATTGATTCAATTGTAGAATTTTGATTGTAAACACTTTGATTGTTATAGATCATCGCTGTAAAACTCTCAATTGTCAAGAAATATGAAATGAGTTTGTTTACACATGTCTGATTGTAGAAACATTCGAGTGTTGAAACGAGCATCGAAGTCACTGGTAGACAACCCGATGACATTCCCAATATAGACCATCGAGTATTGCCTGACACTACTGGACTCGATGCTCCGAATACATCAACAATAAGCGACGGAATCTTCCCGCAGAAGTCAGTGCGACAATTACATCGTGAACTATCACTTTGTGTATAATATAATGAATATATCCATTGAAGTATACCATTAGAAGAACTATAGTATTGATAATAAAAATAATTTGTCATTAGTCCAGAGACTAGTTGATTGTGAATTATCATTTCATTTATTAATCTTAATTGAGATTTAAAAGTATTTGATGCTGTTATTTGAAATTGATTAATTGATTCTCGAATTTGTGATTGAAAAACATTTTCAGATAATACTTGTGGACTTAATAATGTACTTTGATAGAAATAGGTAATACTCTGATCTATACTAGCTTTGGACAAACGACAAAAAGCAGCAAGTGCTTGAAATTGAGCACTACCATATGTTCGAAAGTCTTGCATGTAAAAATAAGTGGAGTCTACACCAGAACTGATCGCTTTCAACCATCGATCTGTAACAAAATCACTCGAACAAACTTGATGAAAACTTGCTTGAAGTGAAGTAAATTTGCCATAAGAAAATGAAATACGAGAACATGAACATTTAGCATTCTTAGGAAGCAGTTCAAATTGTTCTCTTGTCGGCTGATTAATAGTAATCATTGTCGTTTGATACATCAACAATAAAGCAATGCTGATTCCAAAAAGACTTAATATAAGAGTTAGAATAAAGATTCGAGTAGCAATGATATTTGATCGGTGTTGTGAATCATCTTCTAATTCTTCACTATTAGACGATGCTGGAAATACATTTAAATTGCGAAGATAATTTTTTAAAGAAAACATTCTGCAGATATTTTGTTAATAGAATTGTATTATATTCTGTTATAAATGTGAAAGAAAGAAAAAATGTTAACTGCTGAAAAGTTGAGATGCAGTGGTTGAAGAGTCTTCTAGAAAAAATAATTAGTTTTTTCTACGTCGATCTGTGGTTTCAAAAAAGAAAATGTTATTTGGTGCATAAAGTGTGGATTTTCTTTCTAACATCAAAGTGCAAGGTTTTTAAGTAAAGACAGGCAAAAAAAGAATAATTTAGTTTTCATACAGAACAAGATTTCTTTTAGGATTATATTATGTATAGATATAGCAATTCTTATTTATTCTATATATTTAATAAAACTACACTTAGTTATCTATAAGATAAAAACTAAATAAAAAACTTTAATTACTTATTTTAACTAAAAAGTAACAGAAAGAAGAAAAAAAAGAAATAGAGAGAGGCGAACATCATAATAATATTTTACTGGTTGGAAGTCTTTTTTTTAATATTGAGGGTGGGTGTGGGTGTAGGTGTGATCTATCCACAAAGTAATACATCCACTGTCATCTCCACCCACACCCTCAAATTTTCTTGAGAGTGCGGGCGCGAATGTGGGTGTAATTTTAATCCCATACCCACCCTCAAGTTCTAGAAAAGACAAGACAATCTTATAGATTTCATATGTATACTAGACAGTTGTGGAGAATCTTGAAGAATCCTGGGGAATCTTGTAGAATCCTAAAGAATCATAGAGAATTCATGGGAATTCAGGATTGCGCTCTTTCCCCCTTGACGCCTGGCTGTGTGAGGATAAAGGCATAGGTAGAAGGCCAATATATCACCAACACCCACTCATACCTACACTCTTATTGTTTAAGAGAGCATGCATAGTTATGATAAAATAATTCTTTGCGAACATAGATAAGGGCATCAACAATGGCTGATTTATTCTGGCCTACCCGTTATATCTTTACAAAAAAAACAGTATGAAGAATTAATCATCTCATACAAAAAAGAATTCACTTAGCCAGTGTTTACTGACATCTTTTGTCATAGTAAAGGAATTTTTTTTTTCTTCTCTCATCTGAAATTTATTAAAAGAAAAAAGTATTGCACATTACAAAAGAAATATATTTTAACATTATGAAAAAATGTCTATACAAAAAAATATATTTTCTGATAGATCTTATCTCAAACAAATAAATAAAAATTTCGATCATTTAATTAAATTAATTCAAACTACTTATAAACCATTATCACTATCTTATGATGTAAAATTATTTGAAATAAATATAGTATCATTTGAATTTTTACAAGAATTTAATGGATCAAATCAAAATCAACAAATTCAATTATTAGCAAATATAAATAATTTACATCAATTATGGCAGTTTTTATCATTAAATCCAACATCTTATGATTGTTTGACTTTTATTGACGAACTTTATCAACTTACATTAACTTTTTCTTCAGTTAAGCAACATTTAGGTAGATTCTTATAATTCATTTTTATTTTGTCTATAAAATATATTTTTCATTAATTTAGCATTACATTCAGAAGATTTTCTCTTAACATTAGGTATTTCATATGATGATAATATAAGATTTGGTTGTTTTAAAATATTAGCTTTGTTGATTAATGATGCACAACCAGATAGTAAACAAACTATTGCACGTTTTAATCGAATATTCTATGATTGTCTTTATGATTTTAATATTTATTATGAAGAAATAAAATGTTTTACAATTGAATCACGAATTATTGATTTAACAAAAGATGATATCAATCATTTAATCAATGGAGAAAATATTCGCGTAGATTTAGAAAAAGAAATAAACCAAACAATTGAAGAATTAGGTGGATATGTCTTCTTTAAAATGCATAGAAGTCCAAAAGATGCCTATGAAAGTAACGTTTTCTTCTCATATGAAATATAAGAGTCGAAATATTTTCATTTATTTCATTAGATCTTAGTAAAGAAATTAATAATGAATGGATTCGTATTTGGAATTTAACAGAAGATGAAGATCCTTATTTGAATTTTATGAAAATTCAAAATGTTAATCAATTAAAATTACTTTTTAAAAATAGTGATCGTCTTCGACAAGATTTAAATGAACTATCTTCAAATGAAAAATTAATTTTACGAAAATGGATTTCAAATATATCAAATGAATATCGATGTTTTATATGTAATGGAAAATTAAATGCTATTTCAACTTATGGATCACAACAAAATTCAATAGAGAATGAAAAACGAATGAAAGATTTCATCAACTCAAAAAGTTTTCAAGATATTATTTTAACAATTCCATATAGCCATGGAGTTGTTGATTGCGCAATTGATTGGATTAATTATAATGTAATTATCATAGAAATAAATCCATTTAGTAAACGATCATCAGCAGCTAAATTTTCATGGATAATTGATAGAGATATTCTCTATTATTATTTTGATAATTATGGATGTGTTAATATTAAATTCTAGATACTTTTCAACTATTCACAAATAAGAGAATTTTAACAAGTTCTAATGACTAATAATTATTTATTGTTAATTACGCTGACTCATCTGGAATTGATTCGTTCAAATTGTATAATATGACGGTACATGCAAATATCACAAGCGCGTTTGTACCGCATACATAACTAATCTCATATATGATTTGCATGAGTATAGCACATGAATTAATTTATCTGTTCGTATAATTCACGCAAGCTGTCAAGGCTTGTCCATGAAAAGAAATCTATGCACTATGAACATATTTTGAGATGAAGTAGTTGAAGAAAAAACATTTGACTAATGTAAAATATATCAAATTTATGTAAAAGATAAATACGGTCTATTCATCATATCTACAGAATGAAGTAAAAGAAAAATCAAGAAACGTGCTTTTTTTTCTTTCTGTCATAAACAAAAGTAAAGTTGTGCAATAACCAGTCGATGACTCATTATTATGACTTGATAGAGAATAACATCACATTGAAAATGACGATGAAAAAAGAAGAATGAGAATAATTTCATAACATTTTAGAACTTTGTATAATGGCAGAATTCACCCATTCAAAAATATAGATTCTAGTGTAGGTCTCATATGTATAGTTTTCGTCATTTTTTTGCTCGCTTATTATTATTTCTTTTGATTTTATGTATTCCCCTTATCTTGTTGTTCGTATTATTCCTTTCTTTCTTTTTTCTCTGACGAAGCAGTATATAAGCGTATGTTCTGTATGAAAACGATACGATTCTACATATGGAGAAATATAATAAAGCGAACTACCAGCGTTTCTAACTCTCCTTCTATTACGATGATCAGGTATTCTCTGTTGTGATTTGTATTTCTTATACTAGTTTTTCGGTTTGTTGTTAGAATTGTTTCGTATATATGTTACGATTATTTGAAAAATACAGCACATGTTCATTTTCGACGAGTTAGATCAAAAATTCCTTTAACACGATTGATATTAATTTTTTAATATCATATGACTTATAAGTTTATTGAATTATAAATACTAAAACACCGAGTAGGAAAATAAGAATAGTTAATATGACTAGAGAATAAATCATATTAAATGTTTGTTGTAATGTTGGATTTATTTTTAGATAAAAATTTTAAATTTCGTCAAATTAATAATGACTACAAAAGAATTGAAAAATAACGACGACAATAGCACAACACAGCAAGGTATAGATAAATATTCGTCATTTTATTATTCTTAACGATTTTATTTATGATACAAAAGATATAATTAAGAAAAGTGTGCATACGTAAGTGAAATAAGAGTAGAGAAATATGTAAAGATCTCTTACTTATACTCATATAATTATTTTCTTTTTTCAAGAAAATAGAAATATATTATCTGTTTCAAGTACTAAATCTAAGTTATTTTTCTCTTTTGAAGATGCGATCGTCACAAAAGAAGCTCGTCGATTATACTTAACAATGTTCGGAAAACTTCTAGACGATGACGAATACACACCATCGCTTATCTGTGACCGCCTCTTTCTAGGTTCTTCATCTGATGCTCGTAACTTTGACAAATTGCAGCAGTGTCATATCAAATATGTGCTGAATATGACAGGATCGGCATCGTACCCTGCTGAGTTCTTCACTGCAGCCGGTCATTCGAATATAATTCTTCTCGCTCTGGATGCTCATGATATAGATGACTACGATATCTCTGCTCATTTCCCGGTAGCACTCAATTTTATTCACAAATCGTTGCAAGCCGGCGATGGAGCTATTTTAGTTCATTGTGCTGCAGGTGTATCTCGTTCAGCCTTGATAACTGCCGCTTATTTAATGATCGCACACCAAATTAGTGCTGTGGACGCTGTTTTACGTGTACATCAGGCGCGTCCATGTGCATGTCCAAATATCGGTTTTCTACGGCAGTTGCTTCTTTTCGAGCGTACAGGATTTAAACTTACATGAATTTTACTTGTTTCTTGTTTTGTGTTTTTGTATCTTTATTAGTTTGTATGAAAAGAACTTTTTGATCTACAATGCTCATGTCATGTTTATACTCTTTGATTATGAGAATGAATGTCGGTATGTTTGTGATTATTATACTTGCAATGTATAGTATATCGTACTGCTCAAAAACTGATAGCGACCATTCGTCATGAAAAGATTGATTTCGTATGCTCCGAATTGTGATATTACTATTTTTTCTTTGAACATATCGATCGTAATATACTTAGTCTTACCCAAGATATAATAAAGTATAGAGTAATCATCAATGGCGTGGAATAACTAGAGATTGAAGTCCAAACTCACTCAAATCCACATCTTCACCCGTCCTCAAAATATGAGATCATTATGATACTTTCATCTCGATTTTTTTTGATGAAAGAAAACTATACATATTGAAATAAATCTTATCTAAAGATGAAATTGTTCGTGGTTACTTAACATTATTTTTAACTTTTAGTTTTCTGTCTAATTTATTATTTAAATACATTTTTAAAAAATCCGTTAAAAATACAATTTATGTAAAATTATTTCAGAAAAATAAATTATATTAATTAATGTCAATATATCTTTTGAATGGTAATTGTTAATATTATGTAATTGACCATTGTTCACCACCTCCAACATTCAATCTATATCTCTCTAAATCCCAATCTTCATAAACTCCACGTCGAATAAGTTCCATAGCTCTATTATGTTGTGGTAATCTACTAGCCTTCAATGACCAGTCTCTATTTACCCATACACAAGTAGCTAAATTACGTCTATCAGGAGCTGCAACACCGAACCAATACTTCAATAGTCCACCGCTTTCATTTGCTTCGCAATGAGCTTGTTCATCATGTGCATGAAGTTCACTAAAAATTTCTGAATTAACAGATGAAAGAGCAAGGCGTGAACGAAATGCTACAATATAAAATTCTGTAGCTGGAAAGTTATGTGGTATCTTTGAAAGAATTGTTGACCAATTGAATGCTTCATTATATGGTAGATCTAAATATCCTTCATTTGGTTGTAATTCTTGAAGCAATATAGCCACCTCTTGAGATGATTTATCCAATGTTGCAAGATTCAGAGGATGATCTGGATAAGGTGAGGAAATAATGGATTGATCTTCTTCTAATTGAATAGACGAAGTAATCGATGAACAGTCAAAGTTCTCCTGAATCAAGGCAGTGCATACCATTTCAATAGATTTAGTATAATCTAAAAGTATTTATTAAAGATATATTTTCTACTGATAGGATTTTTTGATGTAAAAATAAAATAAAAAACTTACCTGTATATGTGATCATTGAATAAGAATGAAATAGATACTTAGAAAAGAATATTTTCAAATATTATATACCACACTCACGTCTTCATCATAATATATGACTGTTCGAAGTTAATGCGCGTAGGTTTTCTGACTGATCATTTCTTTGTGACAGTTGATATGATATGCGTACCCTTCATGACTAATACGAATGGTATGAATCTATAGAACAGAACACAAAAGACACTCGCCTACCTCACCCACATCATTTTGATTTCTATGTAATTAACCATTTCTTCTTATTATGACTTGATTTATATATGGTTGTATTAGACACAGAATACTCGTAAAATGTTTTTATTTACATAAATATATAAGCATACGCCACATTACCTCATTTTATTCGTCCTTTTAACGAACATCGTGCATCGGTAAATATGTCATGCTTCCTCTTGCCCTCATTGTACTTTTTCATAGTTAACTATAATTCAAAAAAATATTCTATAATAAATATTGAGACGAAGAGGTCAGAATGTTTGTTTTCGTTTTTAAGATATATATAGTTTCATACATTCTTATTCAAATTTTCCCTTGGAAATTTCTTTTTTAAATCATTTATACAAGCGGCAAATGTCGTAATTAATATTTAAATCCACATATGTATTAATTGTTTCTGTCTGCATCAAACCTATTCATTTATCACTAATTTTCTCTAGAACTTCATTCGAAACAATATCTTATATTGTCTGACTCTTAATATTTCATGTTCGATTTAATCAGACTAAATTATTTCCATATGGTAAAATATGTCCTTTTATCGATGAACTTGTTTTTGCAGTCATTCATGCCAATGGCAATAAGTAAGAGCAAATAGAAACCAACACTTGAAGACAGACACTTTTCGAAAAGAAAATGAATAGAATCCTGACACAAACAAATATTGCTCTCAATACAATTTTTATATCGAGTTAATAATCTATGATCTAGTTAAAAGTGCATACAAATAAAGGAAGCAAGAGACAACACCCAACATTGATCTTCATTTTTCATATTTTTTCTCATAGGTTAAATCTATTTTCTTCTTTTATGTGAGTGAAAATATTTTCTATTAATGATACATTTTATTTTATTTACGTATATGTATATAAAGTGATGTACTTCATATAAAATAGACAGAACCAGATTGATGAAATAGTGTCTGTACAATATTTATAACAAGAGTCTTAATCTCTACGTTCTGTTTGATCATTTCTTGGTATTATTTTATTCTATTTTAATAAATTTCCAAGTTGTGTAGTTATTAATGGAAGAAAAAGCGAAAATAAAAACGAACCAAATGATGATGATAACCATTGAAAACGTAATGTAGTGGAATTTAAATATTCATAAAATATACTTATAATATAAAGAACAACATATGGTACGGCTATAAGACAAAGTAAAATCGAATTTAATAACATTCGTTTAATCACAATATAATCTCGTCGATTTCGTTCTTGATGTAATCGTATCATTGATGGTTGTCGCATTTTTTGCCCAATTTTTATATAGAAAATGCAAAGAATCGTGTATGGAATTCCAAATGCAATCGTATTCGAATATGCACAGAAATAAGCAGGTTTGATTAGAATATCACAAAAAGCTTCGTTTAATATTAAATGTATACAATCAAAAAATAAAAATGATGGTAGAATACCAATGAAAACAAATATAAATTGACAAGGAATAAGTATATATAGATAGAAGAATGATCGACATAACCATAATTGTTTTGGATAAATAATTCGAACAAAACGAAAGAATGCAAGAAGAACATAACTCCAATATAATTGTCCAACTATTGACCAAAGAATATATGCTTTTAGTCGACAAGCAAATGTTTCTTCAGTTTGAGTGATGTTGTGAAAATCTTTCATTATAGTTGGAATAGTAATATGAATAGTTTGAAAAATACTTTTCGTAATAATAATACAAAGAGTATTAATAGAAAGAATTAAAGGTACATTATTTATTATTTGATTATGATGATGATTTCTTTGGATAAAATGATAAGCAATAATTGATAAAAAAGATAAACAAATAATGAAAGCAATTATATCCAGAAAGATAGAAATTAAATTGAATATTGAATTAATTGTATTAAGATATGACATTGTTTCAATGGAATAATAGAACTTAAAGAAACTCGTTGTATTTTACACTCAAATTAATTTTGTTATATTATATGAGTTATAGAAAAAGAGAAATTCACATGTTGTTTTCTTTTAATCCTTTCCGAGCCACTGACGCATATATGCATCCTGAAAAGCTTAATTTATTCATTCAACGAAAGAAGAAAAAATATTAAAAATTACAACATGCATAAAAGTCAAAGATCATAATTATTATAAACATCTACACAAATCAGAAGCATACAATTTCCGTTAATATCATTAAAACTATGAATTCAAATATATATTTATAATAAGAGTATGAAAAACTATCGAATCGTTTACGGTTTTACCGTAGCAAGTTAGACTAAATCGTTAAAAAAACGCGTTTTCTTACAGGTCTTGTCTCACTAGATATAAATGAAAGAAAATTAATTTAAATAAAGAGTAAGCCATAGCGTTAAGTTGAATATGAAATAGAATAAAATATTATATTACAGTGCCATGTTTGAAAAGAATTTTTAGACGATGTATCATGTATGATTTGTCATTCATTTTTCTTAGATAAGATTAAACTGGAAAAATTCGTGTTTTATCTGAACAAAGTTGATGAAGTAGATAATCTATGCTAATTATACCATGAGTGTGGGTGTGGATGAGAAAGAATCCTATATTTATGTCTATATCGTTAAGATACTTTTTTTGTTTTTGATAATTCATATGATTATAGTATCTTAAATTATAGTAATGCTAGGAAAACGCTTGGTTGATTGTCAATGTATTATTTTCTATCTATCATTTCTTGTTTTGTCTACATGTAATATTCTTTTATTTTATCAAGGCGATTTTCTATTGTTGATTAGTATATATGACGATGTGAAATATAAGTAAGGATGAGACGATTTCAAAAACAACCACGACTGCATCTATACTCATATTGTTCATCGATTGCTTTTTTGAGACTCGACTAAAAATGAAGACTATTCAAAAATCTATATAAAGACTTGTCGAAGAGTTTTAGCTTTCTGATTGAATATTATACATTTATACATAGCATTCAATTTACTTTCGTTTTTTAATGGTTAAATTTTGCAAAGGAAACACATTAGAGATCTAAGCTCCTTCTCAGGAGAAAAAAAGAGTTTTTATGTTCTGCATTTTCGAATAACAACGCAAGCAATTATTGCACCAACAATAATCAAGATGACCAATACAGTGATCCCGACGGCAAGGCCGATCTTTAGCGCGTTCTAAATAGGATTGATAGTATTATATTAAAGTTTCCAAAATGTATCTATAATTACCGAGGTAGCAGCAGTAGTAGTAGTAGACATAACAGTACTTGAATTTCCCATCGATGATATTATGGAGGTCGTAGTAGTTGAAGACACTATAATATCAATAAGATGAAATAAAATCTCTGATTTCACTCCAAAAGAAGTCAATTTTACCTGTTGAAGTATTGAACACAGTCGACGTAGATATAGTTGATGAAACTGAATTATTTTGTATAAATATTCATTTCTATAACAAGTTAATCATCATACCTGATGTGGTGTTGCCAGTGGAAGAAGAAGACAACGCTAAAAAGTAAAACTGAAAGCGAAAGACGAAAATACGGTTTTAAAGACTTACTTGAGTTCTTAGTTGTTACTAAAATCATTCAAACAATATATATTCATTGTTTTATTTATTTAAAAGTATTTCAAAAATATTGCAGAACTTACTCGAAGTGGCATTCGTTATGACCGATGTGGTTACATTGGAAAAGCCTACAAAACATCTTAACTATTTCATTTTTCTCGCATAAAATCTATTTACTAGTTGTCACGGCTAAAAATAATGTCAATACAATTAAAACATAAAAGAGCATAAGTACACTTACTTAATGTCGTTGTAATGGTAGTTGATATAGTTGTAGTTGTAATATTTGGTGTTGGAACACAACCATAATATCGTTGAATTGCAAGAATATCAACTGGACTCAATCGAATTCGTTGTCCAATATATGCACTAGTATTTTGTGTTGGAATTATAGTTGGTCCACTACTATTCAAAGCGAATGCATTCCATTCATAGTGCATAACTGATCCATAGTCATATGATGTCATTTCAACATCAACTTGTGAATCATTATATTTAACAAAATTAAACGCTTGACCTATACAATTCAGGTAAGAGATTAGATTTATTCATAACAAAATTGTATAATAAAACTAACTTGGATCAATATTAGCCCATTGAATCGAAACATATGAATCTCGATCAGGTCGTGATTGTTCGTGATAAAAACCTTTTTTTTGATACAAACAAATATTCTATATTATTTTCTTGTATATATTATACCTAAGACATGAGTTAATTCATGTTGAACAATTCCTGAAACCATACAAGTTGAATATGTTCCATGCATGAGTGAAACAGGACGAGTACCAATATAAGAACCCCAAGATCCAACCTGATAAAGATAAACAATAATAACTTTTAATGATAGAATATTTCTTTTTGCTATTCACCGGAGAATAACAGCCAGATCCATTGAAGATTGTAATAAAGTATAGATCAGATGCATTTCTTGGACGAAATGAAATACATTGTGTATTATTGACTTGTGTAAGATTTTCCATTGCTCTCATTTGTGCAACAATAAAAGCTGAATTGTTAGCAGCTGAAAAACATCGTTCATTATTTATATGAAGAAAAACAAAATATACAGACTAATGTTTGCAGCAAATTCATAAGGTACAACACCACCTGCCCATCGATTAGATGATGCTGGTTTTATTGCTACACCACGCTAAAATATCCAAATATTGTTATTTATATAATTCCAAATGAAAAGATTTACATCTGTAAGAGATTTCTGAAATGGTTGAGGAACCATATCACCACCTTCTAATCCTTCTACAAGAGAAAACAAATTATGAAATGAAATATATTGATAATAGTTAGGCAAACCATTTTGTTCAGGATTATAAATTGATGTAGTTTGAACTGTATCAGAAGACTGGATTTATAGAAGAGTGAATTAATGAATATATTAATCTTTGAAAGACTTACTTGTAAAATAGGTATCGAATGAAGATTGATAACAAAATAAAGAAGAATTAAAGTGAGATATTTGTTTAAATGCATTATGAATGATGAATATTTTTGAATCTTTGTAATGAATGCTTTATTTTAATAATAAAATGAGGCTTTCACTTTTTATTTTTCGAATCTACTGCAATAGTTTATACATTTCGCAGTAGAAATTGTACTTGATATTTTCTTTTCATTCTTTTATTTATTTCTCATCACGAACATTGCCTCAGCAACCACTTCATCTGATTCTGTAGATGATCAAACGAAAAATCGAATTCATTGTTTTTTACGTATTTTTTATTTGTTTATATAAACAAAAATATTAAGTATTGAATAATGAATAATATATGCAAAAACTTTCAAGCGAAAAAAACATATTTGTTGTTAACCGGTCCTTTTTTTTTAAACATTAAAAAGGTAGATTCGAATCATGAATACATTGCTCATTCACATTCTAACTCACACATTTTATTGTGCACCAGGCTATTTGATTATTTAACAAATTGTGTTGCTTCCCAACCCAATCATTTCTCTTTGTATGGTTGTTATATCAAATAAATGACATCTAACTGTAATGGAATTAGAAATATGACTTGCAGACATAAAATGCGACCAGAGGTATTAAATTTTTGCTACAGAATAAAGAATTAATAGAAAAATTAAAACAAATTAAAAATTCTTTTAAGTGAGAAAAAACCCTAGATGGAAAATAATCATACAATTTATTCTGCTTCTCGTGGAGAGAATGTGGATGTGACTAGGCGTGGATGATAAAGAACACCCACATCCTCACCCATGAGTGGTGAGATGAGTGTCAGTGTAAATCATGGATGTGAATATGGTGGAAATAAAATACTCACACCCACACCCTGATTGGTAGACTATGTATATTGAGAAATCTAGTTTTCCAATCTCTTGCTCTCTGGATCTTTGACCTTGACAACCACATACATACATACTAACTTTTCTCCATATGGCTTTCCTTTAGGGAACTGCAAAGTGGTCCCGGGACCGGGATCAAGACTAAATTGTCAGCTAATTCTTCAATGTTTTTACCAAGTATGAGACCAGACATTTCCTATTTTTTTTTGTTTTTTTTTGATTAAGAATTGACAAATGTGTTATTTTATAGTTCAAGAAAAACCGTATAGATTGAATTTACAATCGAAAAAGCGAGAATTTTCGTGAACTTCATATTTTTTTTTTGCATAGATGAAGACAACACCAGAATTATTCTTACGCTTTTATCAAGACCAGGACCGGGACCAAAAAAAGTGATTTTACAGTTCCCTACTTTCCTTACACTCGAGAGAATATATTTGTAAACATCTTTCTACAAATCGACAATATTTTCTAAGAAATCTTCATGGTGGAATAACTATACAATGAATAGAAAATCGACCACATTATACAGGAATTTTTACAAGTATTTACTTGCATTATTATATTCGTAAAATGTGATGAAAATATGTAGTTCAACTTTCGCAAATTAGATGTATTTTCTTCATTATTGGTGATGAATTCTAACGGGTATAATTTAAATATTGTCAATGATTCATTATTAAACGAAATATCGACGGGGAACAAAAACATTATTTCTGATTGGTTCTCTTTTTCTTTTTTCCTCTTATATTTTTTGTAACGTGAAAAAGCCTCACGTTTTTTTCTTTTATAAGAGAAGTAGCTGTCGTCGATTGACATTTTTATCGTTAGAAAAAACTGTAGTCATAATATAGTAAAAATAATGAATAAGAATACAAAAATAATAATTATAACATCCGATGAAGATATTATTCAACGTCTCATCTCAAATGAAAGTAAAAATACACAAATAATTAATGCAACAGAAAATCTTCATTACTTATCGAAATTTGTATGTATTTAATTGATAATAAAATAAAAAAATTCGATTGTGTCTATAATTTAGAAGTCAAATAATGATAGTCAAGTAAATAAACGTGTACTTGAGTCAAGTACTACCAATGAAGAAAGATCAATTAAAGTACGAAAAAAATGGATTGATACAGTTTGTGTAATTTGTGGTGATCAAGGTATTGGATATAATTATAATGTTCTTACATGTGGTTCATGTAAAACGTTTTTTCGACGAAATTTTAATGAAGATGTGGTTAGTTAAATTACAATTGATTTATTAAAAAATTCTAACGATTTTTTTTTTATTTAGGACAAACTTCAATGTTTAACAGGTGACGAACAATGTTCAGTTTCACATGAAATACGTCGAAAATGTCAAAAATGTCGATTAAAACGATGTTTTTCAATTGGAATGAAACCTAATGTTGTTAAAAATAAGACAAAAACTAAAAATATTAAAAAAAATCTGAATAACTCATTAGTATCATCATTCAATGAAATTGATCAAGTAAATCTTTTTCGATTTAAATATTTCTTTTCAACGATTATTTTAGTTGTTCACGAATGAAAATAGCATTATTGATTCAAAAACAATCAGTGATACATTATTTACTCGATTATCTGTTGAAGATTGGATTACAATTCAAAATATTCAATCATCATTTGAATTTTTCTGTAATTTTCCATTAGAAGAAAATTCTGCTCTTATGGATCTATCTGATCGTACTTCAGCTATTATATCTTGGTCATACGTAGGAAGTGGAACTGCAATGCGTTTTATTAATTTTTTTCGTCATATGAAACAATTCGAAGAATTAAATAATGATGATCGTTTTATTTTAACTAAATATAATCTTTTTTCGATATATCTTACATCAAAAGGTTATTATTATAAACGTGTATCTTGTTGTCATTCAATTGAATTCTGGCAAAAAGAAGATGAGAATAATCGTCGATTTATTAGTTTATGTGATACTTCATCATATGATGTCAATAAATGTGACGATTTAGTTAAATATCTAATCGAATTAACTGAACGAGATCCAACAATTATATCTCTTCTTTCAATAATTCTAATGTTTTCTCCAGGTATATCAATGAATGAAAATGAGCCATTATTAAAAGATTTATTAAGTATTTATCGAATTCAATGTTATTTTACAAAAATCCTTTGGAATTATTTACTTGATAAATTGGATGAAATACAGGCTCATAAATATTTTATTCAATTATTTACATTGATTTTACGAATTCAATTGGGAGCTAAAGAATTACGACAATTTTTTCAACATCAATTTTCAATAACAAATACTAAAGATAAAGTTGCACCGTTAATGCAAACTATTTTACATTTTTATTAATTCAGATTTATTTAAATAAAATATTTTTTTTTCATACGGATAGAAATGTAACTATAATGAGTTATTCTTTTTCACTGTGAAACAACTAAAGAAGATCAGAGAGTATCACTTATATGCTTATGCTTTCTCAATGTTCATTCATAAATAAAAATGACACATAAAGAGTTGATAGAACTCAATCTTAAGAATAGTAAAATATTCTTCAGTCTGTTTTACTACCCATACAATGATATTTCTAGGATATGATTAACCACGGGTCAAACTAGAAACGTACAAAAGAAACACATAAGATTTTGTGTATTTATAGGATATAATTAACTCAGGGTCAAACTAGAAACACAGATGAGTCATATAATACCTTTTACGTCTTCACCATATAAGCGATGGAAGGTTAAAGTAGAAACATACAGAACGAACGTTAAGTATGTTTTATTTCAACGATATAAAAGCGTGTTCTCTTTCCTTTCTTTCTTCATTATAACCTTGTCATATTCAATAATTTGATATTTTATCTTTTCAAAATATGTTTCAACCAGCACCACAACCTCCAACTATTTTGGGACGATACCGTATATTGTCTCCAACAGCAGCTGTTCGAGTGTCTCCATTATGTTTAGGTGCTATGTCTATTGGTGATGCATGGAATGAATTCATGGGTACAAATTCTAAAGAAAATTCATTCAAAATTCTTGATGCTTTTTATGAAGCTGGTGGAAATTTTATTGATACTGCAAGCAATTATCAAAATGAACAAAGTGAAACATTGTTAGGAGAATGGATGGTAAACCGAAACAATCGTAGTCAAATGGTTATTGCAACAAAATTTACAACTGGATATCGATCAGATTGGAAACAAGAACCGATTCATGTTAATTTTGCAGGAAATTCAACAAAATGTTTACATGAAAGTGTTAATGCTTCTTTAAAAAAAACTTCAAACTGATTATATTGATCTTCTCTATGTACATTGGTACGAATTTAAATCCATTTTTAAAAAAAAGTGATAATTTCATATACATCTTTTCTTCTGTTTTAGGTGGGATTATACATGTTCAATTGCTGAATTGATGCAATCCTTGGATCATTTGGTTAAATCAGGTAAAGTACTTTATTTGGGAACAAGTGATACACCTGCATGGGTTGTTGCAAAAGCAAATCAATATGCAAGAGATCATGGTTTACGGCAATTTTCAGTGTATCAAGGCTTGTACAATGCTGCTACACGAGATTGTGAAAGAGACATTCTCCCAATGATTCGAGATGAGGGAATGTCTTTTGCACCATGGGGAGCTTTAGGTGGAGGAAAATTCAAAACAACAGAACAAATAGCAGCAATGGAAAAAGAAGGTGATAAAGGACGATCATTTTCGGGTCTTCTACAAGGTAATGAATGTTTATTTTCAAATTAGAATAAAACTTTATTCAATTAATTTAGGTCCAAGCAAAGATGATCAAGCAGTAACTGCTGTTTTGGAGAAAATTGGTAAATCGAAAAATGTTTCACTTTCACAAATTGCTTTATCTTATGTAATGGCAAAACAACCATATATTTTTCCTATTATTGGTATTAGAAAATTGGAACATTTGCAGGACTCTATAAATGCATTAAATGTTCGATTAACCAAAGAAGAAATTAAAGAAATTGAAGATGCATACAATTTTCAAGCTGGTTTCCCACATAATTTTATAGGTATGAATCCAAGTCAAAGTTGGGGTTTACCTTTAGTAGGTCATTACGATTGGGTGGAACAAGAAAAGAGCATCAATGCCAATTGAAAATAAACATTTTCAAGATTTTGTGTATTATCAATTTTTTTTCGAAAATTTCTTTTCAATAAACTCTAGATCACAATTCTATAAATCATTACTAGATAAGGTATCTGAATCATTCAAGATATTACTATTATCTATAAGTGCATTCATCATGTTTGAGATTATCAAAAACTAGTATATTTATTTGAATTCTTGCAGACACATTTAAATGCACAATTTTTTTACAAGTGGAGATACGAATAAAATTGCTACTGATATTGTGACAAGTGCAAAAATAGTTAGAACCCATTCTAATGGAACTAACCATCGAGGAAGTTCTCCAAGAATACTATAAACTATAGGTAAAATTCCATGTGGTGCAGCAGTTGAAATAACACATGTAAGAAGAATAACAAGACGTCTTAAAATAATTAGATTTCGACGTACACTTGATCGTTGTTGAAATATTAAAACTGTTAAAGTTCGTCTTCGAACATAACACATTGTATGAATATAACAATATACTGTTATAATATATGGACAAAGAAAACCAAGTAAACAAACAGTTAATGAACCACGCATACTAGTCAATGCAACTTGACAATGATAATCATTAGGTAAATATTCAATATCACCAATACATAAACTTGGTAATAATTCTAAAGCAGAAAATATCCATTGACCAAATGACATAATTATATAAAGATTATAATGTTGACGTTTACTATGTATTGGATAGATCACTCGAGTTAATCGATAAATAGCTTGTAATGAAAATGAATGAAAAAATGTATATCCACATATATACATAATATATCCTTTAATACGACACGAATAATTATCAAATAAACTATTCGGATGAAAATATCCATATATATAATGAATACACATATCGATAAAAAAACAACTAATAAAGAATAGAATAATATAAATATTTGTAAGAAGTAAATAATCTAAACGATTTCGTTTAATAATTTCACGATGTAAAATCATGCATAGGAGAAAATATATTGAAATACATATTTGAATGAATGAAAAGAACAATGTTATTGAATAGAGAATAAGATTTAACATGTTTTTGTTGATTATAATATCTAGAAAAAAATTTCTTTTTATATGTAATATGAAAAAATATATATAATAAACTTTTCATTAATTATTCTATAATAAAAGATAAAATACATAGATCTTTCCCATTGAGAAATAATGTATTTTGTGAGTTAAATATTTAATAATATGAATGAAGTCGTTTATTTTATATTCAATAAAAGTCAAGAATTATAATACTTTCATTTATGACATTTATCCTTTTCTATATGTATATAATTATAAAAATAAATATAATATCTTCTTATAAGAAAGTACTCACTAATGAAATGTGACATGTTTGTTTCAGACTAATATAATATTTAATTTATTATTCATTGAATCGAACAAAAAAAACAGTTTGTGATCATTCAATAATCTTCGATTCATGATGAAAGTTATACTATTGAAATTCTTAATTATAATATTCTACTTATTAAACTTCAATTTCGTAATGGAAAGAAGAGAATACAGATTGTGTTTCAATAGCGTGTGAAGAAAAACGATACTTATATATATGAGTATCTTCGTTATTTTAAGAAATCTTTTAGACATACACAATTTTGCTTTTACTTTATTGAGTATTTTTAGACACTATCTATTTAAAACATTATACATATAAGATTGAAAATAATATTATTTCACGAATTTATCGCTATAATCATACATAGAGTAACCCAATAATTTTATGTCAAATGAAACCTCGCGAAAAATAGAGTTTTTTTTATATCGAACTAGAGCAATTTGACATTTTTCTTCGGCTAAAAACTGTTAAATTGCTCTAGTTCGACATTAAAAGTTTTTGTATTCAAACGAAAATTTTCTGTCGTGAAAATGATTGAATAAACGAAGATTGTGACAAAAAAACTTACTTTGAAAATAGAATAATTATATATATATATGCCAATAGTATAGATATTGATTCATCTCAACCGATTCGAACTCATATTACAAATCTATAGCGTTATTCAGTTTTAAATGTGCTGTCTATCTATGTTGTTTTTCAAGCAAACTTCACAGATAATCAGAATGTGCATGTAATATATATATAGACCAACTTGATCTGTCAGATTAATTACTTTTTCTTTTAAAATGGCTCCAATATCAACGTGGGTTATTGAATACGAGAATCATTTTTTTCCATACCTTTTTTTGGTAATATTTTTGACGTCGATACTTTTCTTTCATAAGAACTTTGTAACATTGGAATCATTCATCTATTTTCGTTTGTTTTACTTACTGAAAAATTTATATGATAGAAAATCTGATTACAAAATAAGACTTACATAGAGAATAGATAGAATATAGAATAACATTCTATATTTTCATTGAGTACTTCTCTTAAATATTCATTATCAGACATTGTTTATCTTTAGTTTATTATGCAATCACACATGATTATTATTATTCTATACAACAACATGAGATTATTTTGAAAGAATTGAAAATTATAATTGTATGTTATAGAACCATTGAGATATATCTTTTTTTTTCTTCTTCTCTTTCCTTTCTTGTATAGATGACATATATAAATATGTTACAGGAGAAATTAAAATCTAGGAGAATTTAGGGTGTGGATACTGTATTCATCTAGGTTCCACACCCTAATTTGTCACTGATTATCCTTTGAATACTGTATCGTATGTCAGAAATCATTTGATTCGTACATGTAAATAAATAAATATCATTAAAAGAATAACTATCTTTGGCTTAGTTTATCAGGCAATTGATTGCTAATTATGTTCTTGATAAAATCAAAAAGAATACAACGATAAATGTCAAATAAATTATTTCTGTTTGAGTATATTCTCATAATCAACACTGTTTATATACAATATTCAAGAAAGAATGATATCAAAAACAAAAATAAGAAAAGTGAAAGAGAAATCCTCCAACTCATCAAAACCTTTTAAGATAAGTATCTTCTTCTTTATTTTATATTTATATAATGTAAGCGTTTAATATACAAAAAAAAAACTGATGTCCTTCTCAATATACAATAGCTCAAGAACAGAAAAAGCTACAAAACTGTGATTCTCTACTGTATTATACAGTAATAGAGGAAAATATACTACGGTGTTATGTATTTCGATTGGTGAAAAGTATAGATCTTTAATTTTTCTCGGTTTTGAGTTATTACAAGAATATCTATGGCTACTATATTTCTGGAGAGGCATCAAATAAAAAACATTAGCATAACTGAAGATCATTGTCCGAAAATCATAGTTTTACATCATTTACAGACATTTAAAAATACATCTTGAGTAGGGAGCTGCGGAGTACTCCGAAACCCGATTATGACTCCGACTCCGACTCCGCCGGAGTCGGAGTCGGAGTCTGCGAAACATAATTTTTCGGAGTCGGAGTCGGGTTTATCGAAAAAAATTTTCGGAGTAAGTCGGAGTCCGAAGTCGTAACCACACCTAATAAAATTTTGTGTTTTTATGAACCAATAAGTTTATTCTTCGTACTAATCAAGAAAAAATGACAACAGTTTCTATATAGATTAACAATAACTTTCAAGACAAAAAAAAATTAATCATTTTCTCGTTATAACATTCATAAGAGCAACTACATTAATCTAAAAATATTTCAATGTCATCTGCATTACTGTAATTATCTTCATCATTAGTTCTTGACTGTTTAGACATAGTCCATGTTGATGAAAAAGCTCCTACATTTGACTAGAACTTACATTTTTTTCTTTTGTACAAGCGTAACAGATTCATGACTATCATCTATTAATTTTTTAAGTTCTTTTCTTAACAAAAGCTTCTTGGTCATTATTATTTTCAACTTCGTACAACAATGAAAAAAATTCTAAATTAATATTAACATGATGACTCTTAATTTTTATTCATTCGTTTGTTTCTTTATCCATTTGCACATCGTGATATTTAAACACTAAAATATATGGCAGCTATTTTTAGCTCATTAACAAAATTTCGGAGTTTTTCGGAGTTTTTTTGGAGTCGGATTCGGAGTCAAAAAAAGTTGACTCCGCAGGTCCCTAACTCACACCCAAACGTATTGACATGTTGTTCCCAGCAGTACAGATTTTATACAGAGAAAATACAAAACAGAAATGGGAGAGAATATAAAGATCAAGAAAAACTTTGTCATTTGTTCCTAATGATTGATGATAGAAAAAAAGTTAGTGGTGCACATCAACGAAGAGACGGAAGAAAAAAGAATTACATAACATAAAAGGTAAAGAAAAGACTGACGTATTTCGGTAAGAGTCGATCATATTGTTGACTTAATCACTGTTTTACAGTGTTTTTTGCTGCCTGGGTTAATGTTAATATTTTTTTGCCATCATCGTTTACCACCGTTGTTGTTGATTTAGTTTTAGTCATACCATTGAATATTGTCATCCGTTTTCGTGGAGTACTAGCTTGAGCTCGTTTTTCTCGTTCAGCAATTTCGTTAAGATGTGCTTGCATTTCGTTGTCTAATGTATTCACTGCCGGATCATTATACCAATAGGTAAACATTGAATAGTTTTCACTCGATGAAAATGAATCCATTGAAGGAAAAATAAGATCAACGACTTCATGTAAGTTTCTATAGCTAAACAAAATCTTAATAGTAAACTGAGAAATTACGAAAAGAAATACATACGTAGACATCATAGATTGGGGTAATGACTCTCGAGTAATATTACTATCAGAATTAATTGTAAAAATGCGAGTCTGTGGTATTTTGATTCTCGTATACGCTATATGATCCTATTAAAATGAAAAAGTGTATTTTGTTAAACGATTTTCTAGTGATCATGCAAATCAGTGTACTACTCGCTAATTGAATAATAAAAAGCTATAGTGTGTTTTGTTAGCACATAGATGTTTATATTCTAGTTTTGACTATTAAGTTCGTTCAATTTTAGTTAATGCAACAGAAATTCTTTACTGATTAATAAAATTTCTTCTTTTAACTTGCAAAAAAACGTACATTGGTTCTATTACCGAATCCAGCATAGAATGGATTTCTGTTTGGAAAAAGGCTTGCAATATTTTCCAAACATGCAATCTTGAATTTTTCGGGCTGTTTGGCAACGACTTCTCTACAAAATACAAAAAGATAAATAAATTGAATGGTTTCTACACTACACAAAAGGATATTAATTATCTCACCGATGAAATGCAGCTAGAAGTGAATCAGGCGAAAGGAGTAATGGTCCAACAGGTAAGTTATATTTACACTGTTTAATGCTGCGTAAAAAATCTCTCGTCATTTGACTCTGCCCAATCGCTCGTGCCGATAGATAGATAAATTGATAGCCATTTTCTTGTATTGCATTAAAAAATTCTGCAATACCATCGTGATACCAATCTCTACCAATTAATGGAAGAATTTGACCCATTACATCCGATCTATCAAAATATTCAAATCATGATACTATATGTAAAAAAGAAGAAATGAGTAGCTTACATTGTGATTGTACCATCAATATCCGAAATGACAAATTTAGTTTGATAATCAAAAAGGAAAATATTCGATCTAACAGAAACATTGCCTTGTAAAGCTGTTGTCACTTCGAATTCAATTTTATTAATACCCAGTTTAAGATTGAGCCGTTTTAGTTGATCCGATGACAGTGTTAGCGTCTTTTTCGGACTAATCGAAGATGTTTGCTGAACTGTCACTGTTGGTACTGATGACGATGGTTGTGATTCCTCTTTTTCTTTTTCTTTTTCTTCCATATCAGGGATCAATTTAGTTACTTCACTGCTGTTATTCTTATCTACTGATGGTTGACTTTTGATCGAATTTTGTTTCATTTCAGCTCGATTAGACAATGTAGATACTACTGGTATTATTGTACTCGAGTTTGTTACCTATGTGAATTCAGAAACGAGTTCAAGAGTATTAGGTAGATGAAGCAGAAAAGTCAGTAACAGCAAATAAACACAGGACTCTAATGGATGCTAGATATTCGGGATTTCAAAAACTCTCAGGTACTCACCGTCTGTACTATCAGTTTTTCTTGTGATTGTTCGACTGTCTCCGTTGGCAAATGCTTGTGAACATTAGCCGCCGAAGTAATAAGTGGTACGGCTGTGGTCCATTTGTACAATCTACAGAAAGTTCAATTTTATACTTATCTCTTTGATTATAAAAAAAAAATAATCATTATTTACTTTCCGCCAATGCGTGCAACCAAATTAGGATCATTGGCGATGTTTGGATCATTGAAGAATCTTTCGTGTGAAACAAGGTGTTTATTAAATATGTCATGAGTAATCGCTGATAAATTGTCAATATTACCACATAATGAAAGTTGAACATCATTAAGATCTATACCTTCAGTAGGCAATGTCTTTTTAGTCGATGGCCATAAGTAGGAAAGAACGTTGGGCGGTTTGGTTAACTTGGCAGATTGTCGTTGTTCAGGTAGTTTGCCCCAATTCCATCTCCACATACCACTGATTCTATCGACAAATGATCGACGTTTTTTTACCAACGGTTGAGTAGAATTATCAAGTTCATATTCTGTGTCCGATTTTGGACTTGTTGTTTGCGATGAGAAAGAACTTGAACATGAAACAAATAATTCTATTTCTCTTATTAAAATATTTGGTTTACCTTGAGAAGATTGGTGGCGATGACAAATTTTCGTTTAAAGAATAGTTACCAACACGATCATCTAAACTACATGTTGGACTCTGAAGTGGTGTATCGGTAATAGCGATATGACTTTCGATTGGTACCGATTTAGACAAAACTGCTTCATAGATTTCACTGATCCTTGTATTCGATTCTTGTGTATATACAGTTGCTGATGTCTTTATTGGAGTCTGATTTGATAGAATTGTGGATATTTCTGTTTTTAATCGTTCATCAATTCCACTTTCATCCGTATTTTCACTTTCGTTATTGTTGGAAGAACCTTGTAGTGGTGAAGTAACACATATTTTTTTCTGACTAAATGCATCGACATCTGAGATTTGATTATCATCGTCCATATGAAATAAAAGTGAATCGTTCTCGTTCGCATCTCGTTTATGAATCATTGTCCATGATTGATCTTGTTCATCACCGTTAGATCCTTTCGATATCGAAAGACGTTTTCGTGTAGATGATTGTCGTTTAGTTAAAAGATAATCGGATGATAATTGCTCGTCTTCGCTTGACTGTACATCGAAATTATGTCCAGCAGATCGTCGTTTCTCATGATTACGACATAGTTCACTGTTATTGACAGATTGATCAATATTCGACAAGATCTGTGGAGATCCATTATCTGCGTGTAACAAAACGGAATTCTACGAGTCAAGAAAAGGAACTGTAGTATTATTAATTTAAAAACAAGATGAATACTTATTACATGTGCTATATATTTGACGTCTGTCTTGGTGACATATTAGATCTTTCAAAAAGAGACTATAATATCTTCTGTTAAATTTGGTATTTTTATTTTTATTTTATCATAGTGTCAACAGATGTGATAGTATGAATACTTTTGACAAGACTATTTTCTTCGGCACATCGATCAAAATATTTAATAGAAAATTCTTTGATGAAACATTAACATACCTCTGTATTATCAATAAATACAGCTTCACCCGCATCCCCTAATTGCATCCACAAATCTTCGATTAGATGATCATTCACTGAAACGTAAACCTAAGAAAAATAATCAGTAGAATATATATTCTGAAAATGTATTGAACTCACTCTCTTTTGTTGATGTTGAATAACATCTAGTTTTCCAAATCGAACATGAAACGGTGTACATTGAAGTGTTTCGTCTTCTTGTTTAATAACAATAACATCTATGGCACCTATCAATCAAAAAAATTATTTGTATTATAAAAAATCTTAATAATAACAGTGCAAAGAGACAATCTATGTACCACTGAAATTATGCGGATTGATACTGTTGTAAGTTGACTGAATTGTCGACCAACATTTGAGTGGTAATGAAATTATATTCATATTTGAAACGTCGTCGTAGTCAAGACGTTTTTATAACGTTGTTTTGTTTAGACTGAAAATGAAAAACAATTTATTCGATCTTCAAATAAAACATAATAAGTCAAATATAGATCGAGAAAAAAAATGATCGTGTACTCTCTTTTTTTTCTATAAGAATGAATGGCATGCACAGACACATTTGAGACAACTTCTAGCCCTTCTCGTGTTTTTATATGTCGACAATAACAATGCTCTGTTTGATATTGCGAAAGTGAAGATAAAGATGTCGTATCATTTATATTTACTTTGTAAAGGTATAAAGGTAAAAAACAAAAGATTTCATCTTTCTAACTGCAGTCATCCTTCGCATTCAATAGATTACACATACATTTTATAGGAAAAAAACAAATTCAACCGAACAAAACGTTAGCCTTTCAAATTACTCAGTACGAAATATAAAAAAAATTGTCTGGAGAAAGTTTAAGGATGAAATTGAAGGTTAGCGAAGTATGAGTAATTATAACATTTACCATCGCATGGTAGCATCATCATGTCTGTTGGCATTTAATTTTTGTTTTACAGACATATGATGTTTAATAGAATCGTGTCTTTTAGTGATTGATCAAAATAGAAATTGATGAAATATCATATTTAATGATCTTATCTATCACTTGCACAACCTTCAGTAACAAAATCAAATCTTTTTTTTCTCATATTTATCAGTAATTTGTTCTTTCACCGATCATATGTATTTATTTGAGTCTTTAAAAACAATGTTTCATAGAATAAATTGGTTAAAACAACGATGGCGTTTATTATTGGTTCTATTAACACCATTAGTTCTTCTTCCAATACCAATTATTGGCAAATCCTCTGTACGTTAAATATACTATCACAAGTTATAACATTTAATCATTTCATTCTAGCAAGCGAGATGTGGATATATTGTCCTTATTCTAACTGTCTATTGGGTATTTGAAGCAATTCCTCTACCAGTTACTTCTCTTTTACCACTTGCTCTTTTCCCGATGGTAAAGAAAGTAGCTGTTTGTTTTAATGAATTCATATTGATACATATTTAGGCTGGAATATTACCTGCTGAAATAGTTGCTCCTCATTATTTTAAAGATATAATCACACTTTTCTTTGGAAGTATGTCATTGGCATATGCAGTTGAATCTGTTAATCTTCATCGACGAATTGCATTATTTGTCTTAAGTCTTGTTGGTACTTCATCGAAATGGTAATTCTTCTTTTTTTTAAATAATTTCCAAACAAATAAATTCTATTTAGGTCAATGGCTGGAATAATGGGAGTAACTGCTTTTCTTTCCATGTGGATGAATAATACAGCAGCAACATCAATTATGATACCAGTAGCAATGGCCGTTACGAACGAACTGGAAAGTTATAGTAAAGTAGCTATCACTACTGCTAACGGTAAATAAATAATTGACATAAAGATTCACCTTTGTTTATATTATACAGATGTGCTTGATTTAACTAAAGAAAACGTTTCAAATTCAGATCAATCGATGATAATCAAATTGCATGAAAATAAATATAAAAATATCAAAAAAGGTCAGGATGGAAATGTAAATTTTCGATTGTGCGAAAGTTTCTTTTTTAGCTTTTCTTCTTAGTGTTGCTTATTCAGCTTCGGTCGGAGGTATATCAAGTTTAGTTGGTTCAGCACCAAATATCTTCCTCAAAGGTTTCATTGATAAGTTAATAAACAATAACGAAAGATTTTTTTCTTCTCTTTATTGAACTATTTATTTATTTATTTATAGTCAATACAAAAACACGGCTTTTCGTATTAATTTTCTTGATTTTCTTCTCTTCGCCTTTCCAACAGCTCTCCTAATGTTGATCTTATGTTGGTTATGGTTACAAATTTCTTATAACATTAAAGAGTTTGAAGAAATTTTGATAAATTCTCAATTTTTTTTCTCAGATTATTTACATTACATATAGATGCTGAAAGTCGTGCAGCACAGGTTAATTTAAAGACGATGTTAATTAAACAATACAAAGACCTTGGAAGACCACAGTAGAGAAGAAATAAAATTCAACTTTAATTTATCTAGTTATTATTTTTCTAGATGGAGTGAAGTATCGGTTGGAATTATTTTTATTTCTATGATTATTTTATGGGTAACTAAAGATTTTTCTGTTGTACCTGGATGGAAAATTATCTTTCGACATAAATATATCAGCGATGGTACAGTAGCGATACTCTGTGGAATACTACCAATGATTTTACCCAATGCTAATCCTTTCCAAAGTAAGATTAGTTGAACAAAAATTCTTGGAATATTCGATATTTATTGTAGAGAATTGGACATATGAACCAATCGTTCAATGGAATCGTTTAGCGAAAAATATGCCTTGGGGTGCAATGCTATTACTTGGTGCTGGTCTTGTTGTTGCAACAGCTTTTCAAGTTCGTTCATTGAAGAGCGAATGAACAATGATTAAGTTTTGTTTTTTGATTCTTCAGGTTTCAAAACTATCAGCAAGTGTTGCACATGCACTTCGATTTTTATCAGGAATACCACGTGCAGCAGTGATTTTTTTAGTTATTATTATTACTGGTTTTTTCACGGAAGTAACATCGAATATCAGTACAGCAAGTATTTTTTTTCCAATTCTTGATTCAGTAGTAAGTTTACGTGTTCGATTTTAATATGAAACGAAAGACGAAGAATTCTTTTTCCTAGGCTCGCACTTCAAATCTTCATCCCGCGTATCTACTTCTTCCTTGTACATTAGCTGTTTCAATGGCTTTCATGTTACCTATCGGTAAATAATTTGAAAATAAAGGTATTAAATAAAAATATTTCTTTTCGTATCTTTTAGCAACACCGCCAAACGCAATTATTTTCGCTAGTGGTGAAATTCGTGTGATTGATATGGTAAAATATTTGTTTACAAATAATGAATAAAGACGTTATTTTATTAGGTCAAAACTGGTGTTGTAATGAATATGATTGCTTTTCTAGTCATTTTGTTTGCTGCAACTACGTGGATGCCGAAAATTTACGGGCTAAATGATCGAAATACAGAAATATTCTTCAGTATTAATGCAACTTCTTTGAATAAAACAATATGAATTTCTGCTTTTTTGTATTACATGAAAAACGAACTTCATTTTATTGTACTTACATAATAATATAAGATAGAAAGAGAGAGAAAAAATAGAGGGTGGGTGTGAGTTTGAGCATCAAATTCACTTCACACTCTCAAAGTACAGTTACAGTCGTCTTTTATCATTACTTATAAATCCTTCCAATATCACCCGCCATCTATCAAAACAAGTAAGTGGATTAGCTTGTTGTTTTTTTACAACATGAAGGTTTTCTTTTACATTACTAGTGTTGAAATATGAAAAAATATTGTATAAAACATGACGCTATCCTAAAAGTGTTACAGTGTAACTTGTATAAGATGATAGTTTTGGAAGCTTAATGACAGTTCGATTTATTTAAGAATAAAACGCGACTATTTATAGAACAAGAAATGGTTACTTTGGATTATTCCTATTTCTTGTAATACAATATAATGTAGGTAAACACTTAAGTGATGTCCTTTCATTCATCACTTGAAAATTTCAATATAAGTAAAAAGAACAAAAGAAGAACGAGTTAAGAGAAAGAAAGGAAAATACCATAAGAACATATATGTGAGAGAGAAGGATAAAATCCCATATAATCATATATGTATAAAAGAAGGAAAATACCAGATAGATAGATTTATGTGAAGAAAAGAAAGAACAGCGAACGAATAATACATATATTCGCTTATAAAAAGCAAAATGAAATACGGTAGACATGTGCGATTTGAATTTGCTAAGTTTCTTTCTTTCCTTTTTTTGGATATTTACTCTTACTGCTTATTTTTTCTCGTATATTTACAACGCATTGTTATTGGGTAATACTGAGTCATGACTGGGTTTTTTTATTCTATATGATACTTTTGCATTAGAAAGAATTCTTCATTCAACGGCGATAAACTTGTTATTCAAACGAAACAGGTAAGACATTTTATGCTGACTATTTTATAGTTATCAGAATAATATCAAGTTAGCTCTACAGTTTCATCATACTTTCTTTTTGATCGAAAAATGTGCACATGGATTTTAGAATTTTATACAGATAATATGAGTCTTTGGAGAAATCGGTTCATTTGTAATTTTGTTTAAACACAAATTTCATACGTGAGTGAAGTAAGCAGCCGATTCGAGTATTTCCACCGGCGATTCGCCAGTGATGCGTTCCAGAGGGTTCCAGACACGTTCCAAGCACAACTCGACGAGCTCTATCAAATGGTGTGCTCAGATTTTTCGTAGCTTAAAGTAAAACATTTTCGATTTTGGTGGCGCCATCTGTAGGTCTAAAAAATTTACTTTGTGCTACGGAAAATCTGAGCACACCATTCGATAGGGCTCGTCGAGTTGTGCCTGGAACTCGTCTGGAACGCATTATAGACGAATCGCCGGTGGAAACACTCGAATCGGCTGCTTACTTCACTTACGTAAATTTCATACGACAAAATGTAAGACGGCGTACACATCCTTTCGCTTTTATACTGATGTTAGTCGTTTTTTTCAAACTATTGATTTTTTAGTTGAAAGATATATCTTTGAAAAAATATATATAAACTATCACTTGAATTACAATTATTTGTTTAGATCACTGCCCAAAAAAGTGAATAATAGTCAAGCGATATTTCCGCGATGAATATGTCTCTTCTTGTTCTTCCTACAGAAGTAATCCATCATGTATTGGATTATTGTGATCTTCAACCAACTCTATTTTCCGTTCGTTGTGTCTGCAAAAGACTCGATGAGATTGTCAGGACATATAATCGAATAAATCTCATCTGCAATTCACAAAGGCTTAGTTCCATGTTAGCAATCTCTCGTTTTATTAAACCCGAAAATGTCATTTCACTGATAATCTCTGACTCGCGAATAAAAAATCATATACAACTATTCAATTCGGTGTTTAATATTAGTCGATTTAGTAGACTTCGATCATTAACACTCTATCAAATCAACAATCAAGACCTTAGATATATCTTAGAACGTGTGAAAACGAATTATCTTATTTCACTTTCGATTGAATTATGTGAAAGAGAATATGCAAACGTATTGACTTTGGTTTCATCAGATCAATGGATATTGAATTATTTAGCAATTCAAGATTGTACATATAACGAATATCTGGTTATTCTTCAACAGTTACCCAATTTACGAACACTCGTCATGAGAAATTGCAGTTTTAACTATTTGAATAATACACCGTCGCTATCATTGACATCCCATTTCGATTCACGCTTAACATCTCTAACGGTTACTGATAATTACATATCACAAGGCAATCTTGCACTCCTGGTTTTACCAATACCTTCATTGAAACATCTCAAATTAATTTCCTACAGAACATTATTCGATTATGTGTTTAATGGCTCTACTTGGCAAAATTTCATTCAAACCAACTTGCCAGTACTCGATAAATTTGAATTTTTCTTCTCTTACACTTACTCCAATGACCAACGCTTTATTAGTCTCGAATCAATCATGGATTCGTTTCGAGCACCTTTCTACCTTGATAACAAACGTTATTTTGTCACTTGTGCTTATAATCCAAGATTTCGTGCGATCTGGCTTCATACGACACCGATATATGGTATTGAATATAATTCTCTGATAAGATGTGAAGTATCATGGATAGATAATATTTGTCGCATCACTCAACGACCAATCCATGAGGAAGTTAACATCATTGCAGATGAGGTACGCTCGAGAACCTATTCTAAATATAGAATGACAATTTTATCTTTGATCTATATAATTCGACACGTTGTTTATTTAGCTAGATCATCAATCCAAATGTATCTTCTCTTATCTCAGTCACATATTTTATAGAGAGAGTCAGAAGTCAAGCAGCCGCCAGATTGAAAAAGAGAGATACCTAGCATATAGATAAGAAGAAGTAGTGTGAGAGACAATCATTTACCGTTCCAGTTTTCCCTTCGTTGTTCCAGTAGATCTAAAGATATCTATATAGCAATCGGTTAAAACCTTTGTACTTGTTACTCTCGTTAAATGATACTACTTCATGTTTCTAGCTGTTCAGATCAGTACTAAACATAATAGATACGCAAGAATCAACTTGAGCTTTGTTATGGAAACCGTATATTTTTTACTTTCTGATTCAAGAAAACACTTGTAGTCAGTAATATTTCAATACTAAACAAAACAATTTCGTTGGCCGGGCTTTTTATTATAAGCGTGTATTGAAAATTACTATTTCTGTCTTATCAGATTCTGTAAGAGCTAGTATAATACTTAGTTTATAAATGCCTTTCGTTTATCGTTGAATAATCAATACTATGTAGCTACCCTGTAATATATCGAAAGAAATTATTTGAGTGAGATCGTGAATTCATCACATAATAGAGTATCTATCTGAAAAAGGCACCACCTTTGTATAAGTCATGATATCTTATTAAAAAATACATACTATAGAAATTTTTGAGCAAAAAAACAATTTTGTTTCTAATACGTTTTCATCTCGTTCTTCTATCTCCTTAAGCGTGACACAAAATAATCAATCAGATGATTACGATAAACTTCATTCGTTTTTATTAATATGTATATCTTTTTATATAGACACCATTCGGTATACTCAATCTCTGCGTATATCACATTGAAAATCGAGGAGCGCAACATCTTGCTGATGCCTTGCAACATAACATGGTAACTTAGCATCACTTTTCTCTCTATCTCTCTTATCTAGTTCTATTGATACAGACAATCACTTCATTAGATTTGCATGATAATAAAGTGCAAGATGAAGGAGTAGAACATCTCGCTGCTGCTTTACGATACATTAAAGTAACTATTCATCTTTCTCCTTTTTCTTCTATATTCACCATTTATATTTTTTGCGCAGACACTCACCACATTGAATCTTCTCCGAAATAAAATTGGAGATCGAGGAGCACAATATCTTGCAGATGTTCTACGATTCAACACGGTGATTTTCTTTTGTGTCTTTTTCTCTTGCTCTCTCATGTATACTTTTTATATAGAAATTGATCTGTCTAAATCTCCTTGGGAATGAAGTCGGAAACCAAGGAGCACAATATCTTGCTAATGCTCTACAATATAATGAAGTAATTCTTCTTCTGTCTCTATCTCTGATGTCTTTAACTTCTCACATAGACACTCACCACACTACATCTTTGGAACAATAAAATCGAAGACCAAGGAGTACAAAGTTTCGCTACTGCTCTACAACACAACACGGTATTCTTGATCTATTTTTCGTCTTCATCTTGCTCATTTCAATCTTTTCATATAGATACTCGAAATACTCGATCTTAGTGGAAATCCAATTGGAGATGAAGCGGCAGATCATATCGCTAATATCCTACTATATAACACAGTAATTCTATTTTCTCCTTCACTGTAAGTCTCTCATTTTTATCATTTCACATAGACACTCAAGCAACTATGGCTCTGGAATAATAATATCTCGCCCGAATTAAGAGAAGACTTGAAAAATCAAGATAATCGAATAGAATGTTGATTGTGTATTTTATTTTTATTAATTCAGAATAAATGACTTACTCTACATTTCAAATAAAATCTACAGAATAATGAGTTCTTCCATCTTGATTAAGGCCCCCCCCCACTCAAAAACTTTTCTCAGGATTGGCTCGTGCGAATCGCATGAAATTTTCAGGATATGTTGGGCCTATACTGGAGAAGCTGTGGTAAAAATTTCAGCCCGATCCGACGACGTCTTGAGGAGATATGCACCAAGTAAGGGTCAAAAGTAGTTGATTTGGCATCCAAGATTTCGGTGCCAAGGAGCGCCCAAAATTAAAAAAATTTTTTTATCATTCGAAAGAGTATGTTAAGGTGCAGGGCATGGTAGAGCCTTTTTTTTAAAATATTTACTTTTTCCACGACGAAAACAAGGCACAATGTCAATGACTCAAAAACTCTTAAAAAATGGGTGCCTACTCATATTAATGTTTGTATATAAAATCAAAGCAAAATTTTTTTTTAAAAAAGGACTCTATCATGCCCTGCGCCTT